TTGACAAGAGAGACATTTTCAATAATTAGATTTCCTAACTTGATGTTTCCTTTGCCAACAATCCTTCCTTTGTCTTTTCCTCCAAAGGTAACAGTGCCTCCATTTATAGCGGTACAACTTATAAATTTGGAGCTGTCTATAGTCGTGTGTCAAGAGCATCCATCGTCTAGATACCATTTGTTTTTCTTCAAGATCACCTACACCAAAAGAGATTCTCGTCTTTTCTTTCGTACCCACATAAACTTGGGTCCTTTCTTATTAGATTTGGAATCCTCATCAAATTTCCAGTGAATCTTTTTTGGGATTCATTTGCTTGTTTGGACATTCTAACTTGAAGTGACCAAATTCATTGCAAATCGAGCAATCTGAAAATTGCTTGCTAGTAGATCTTGTGAAATGCTTTGTATAATGGTTCTTATAAAGATGTACATGAGGTTTTCATTTCAATCTTTCTTTGGTATTTGGGAAAGTATTCTTCTCAGTATCATTTTTCTCATGTTCTAAATCACATTTGTTGTGGTGAGGAATCTGTATTATAAGAATGTGTTTTAAGGTTTTTGAACCAAGATGAAATTTGATGCTTAATTTTTAAATATCTTCTTTGTGAGTACTATTTTTAGCTTGAGAAAGTTTGACTTCGCTCATTTGGCGGTTGTTTTCCTTTTTCAAGTTTTCAATAGTACTTTTGTAATTAAGGTTTTTGGAAGTGAGTTCAAGAACTTCTTTCTGTAAAACTAAAACCCTTTTTTAAACTTTTTTGTGTTCTTCAAATTTTCTTTCAAAAATTCCCGCATCTCTTCAAAAGTTCGTTCCAAATTGTTTACCTCATTTTCTTCTTCATGGTCGGAGTCGGCCATTAGACAAAGATTCGCTTCCTCTCCATCATTGGATTCACATTCAGTGTCACTCCATGACTAAGCTTTTATTTATGTTCCGCTTTTCTTATTTATCTTTCTTCCTTTTGAGCAATGGACAATCTGGCTTTATGTGACCTCATTTTTTACATTCATAACAAATAAGTTCCTTACTTTTGAAATCTTCCTTACTTTTGTATGGCCTCTTTTCCTCTGGGAACTTCATTTGACGTTTCCCTTTGAAGTTTCCTTCTTTCTTCATGAGACTGTTGAATCTTAGGTGAAAAGGGCCATGTCTTCATCATCTCCTTCATCTTTTAACGATATTTGATCACCCGTATCATCATTGTTAGCTTTAAATGCAATAAATTTCTTACCTTTTGAATTTTCTTCATTTTGTTGTTCTACTTCATAGAACATAAATGTTCCTATCAACTCATTCATCGAGATCGGTTGAATCCTTATGGTTTCGCATACTAAGGTTTTTATGTTGTTCCACTCATTTGGCAATGCTCTCAGCAGCTTGTTTACCTTTTCTTCATCGGTGAAGAGTTTTCCTTGGTGAGATAGCCCATTCACTATTTTTGTGAATCTAGTGAACATTTGTGCTTCAGTTTCATCTGATTTCATCTTGAAAAGCTCATACTGTCCGAGAAGGATGTTCATCTTTGTCTTCTTCACTCTATCAGTTCCTTCAAATGTTAGCTGAAGTTAATCCTAGTTGTCTTTAGCCGTGACACAAGAAATTCTGCTAATTCATATAAAGATAGTGAACAGTATAGCAAGTGTCTAGCTTTAGCATTACGAGTGGTACTTTTTTCATCAAGCTTCTTCTGCAGCAACGGTGGCAGCAGCAGTAGCTGCCCCATTTTTAGCCTGAGCTGGAATGAGAGCTAGAGCATGTATATCTACTCCCAGTTCGATTACATCCCACATGTTGAGATCTGTTGCATTGATATAGGATTGCATCCTTTTCTTCTAGTAGCTGTAATCGCTTCCATCAAAGTAGGGAGGCTTGTTAGGAGCAAGAGCATCATTGATAAGAAAACCACCAAAGTTAGCCATAAGAGAAGATCTTTGTACTCAGAAGAAATACACTTCAAACAAAGAGCAACATGACTCTAATACCGATTGTCATGACTAACAATACAACCTAGAGGGGGGCTTGAATAGGTTGTTTCAAGATCTTTATACTTTTTGTGGAAAAACAATGAGTATGAAGTAAAGATTAGGTTAAGGCGATGTTTCTAAAATTGTGAGCTGATTGTGTGCTTAAGTGTTTGAAATAGAGGGAAACAACAGCATACACAAAGATAAACAATCTACCCCGAGTCCAGAGCGCAGTTGACCTCGCTTGAATGGAGATAGCCAAACCGAAGAAGGAGTCGAGTATCCGACAAGTCGAGAAGCCAAAGACAAAGCGCAGTCGGAACCAAAAGAATCAGCAACATCCTAAGAAATCAACAATCCACCCCGAGTCCAGAGCGCCGAGGACGTCATTTGACTAGGTGGGGGAAAATGTCATGGTCCCGAGGTTTTCCATGCACCAAAGGCCATATAGGATCGAGAAAGAACGGGCCAAATCTTCTAGAACTTCCGGAACATTTCTACGGACGGGCGATATGGTTAATGTACCGTGTTCTAGAGTTTTCCTACATTAAGTGTCGGTAGTTGGTAGATGGGGAGACACAATATTCACCATTTGATCGAAAGTCGATCAATAGTTGTAACGAGAGGCCCTCTAGTATAAATATGAGTGTTTACAATTGAAGCAATACAATTTCATTCTCTCACGGAGCTTCTCTCTCTGGACTTTCTCTCTCTATGATCTACGCTAGCCAGTGAGTGATCGATCCCTCGAGAAAAGGCTTGGCTTAGGCGTTCCAATGATCCAAGGAAGCTTAGTCGCCACGCGGGTCCAATCCCGAGCAACCGGTCCGTGACACTTGCATCTATCCGAATTCATGCTTTTAAGCCAATTATGAGCTTTCAAAAGCTTTAAAACCATCAGAACTGCCGATTTTATACTTTATTTATTAATTTATTGTGCAAGGGAATGAACCGTGAACAAAAATTTGCAGTGTCTTAATGACACAGAACACTACGCTGACACAGATGAACAAAGCCAGTATACCGCACTGTTGCAATTGGACTTAGCGCAAATCGCAGACCAAAATAAATAGGTATTTATGATTACAAGACGCAACGCCCTTTAATGATCTAATCCACAATTAGTAAAACCTTGTGCTTCTTGAGGAAATAAAAACGAAAAATCCAAACTCGCTGTTGCTTCATCTTCATTTGCTTTAACAGTTCGAGGCACAAAAATCTGGACTGATGCTGGATAATCTAGTGAACTATACATTTTTATTGAATCGCCCCTAATTTATCGATAGATTAATAAAGGTGTCTGCAGCAGTTTAAGGGTTGTAACTCGTAACAACTACCAAATGTGTATGCATGTTTGTCTCTGCTTGATCTTACTACAGAAATTACATGGATAAGGGGTTGCTTGCATCTATCCGAATTCATGTTTTTAAGACAATTATGAGCTTTCAAGAGCTTTAAAACTTTCAGAACTACTGAATTGATACTTTCTCCGTCAATTTAATGTGCAAGGGAATGAACCGTGAACAAAAATCCGTCGCAGAGTCTTCTAGCACAAATCGATGCGCTGAAATGGATGAACATAGCCAGTACACCGCACTGTTGCAATTGGACTTGAGCAAAATTCAAGAAGTAAAACGGAAAACTTCTCGCATACCACAATAAATAGGGATTGATGATTACAAGACACAATGCCCTTTATTAATCTAAAGCACAATTATTAAAACCTTGTGCTTCTTGAGGAAATGAAAACAAAAAATCAACAGCTACTCTTACAATTAGGCTCCATTTGTTTTGTGAAAAATGAATGATTTAAAAAATATTTTCTTGAAAATGGTCACTTGATATAATTAGTCAATAGAAAATATTTTCATGGTTGACAACAATTTATATCAAAATATTTTAAGGGACAATGAAAATTATTTTTTGTTCATTTATTTTTGTAAGCGATACAAACGATCATTTTTTAGAAAATGCTTCCCAAATCATCCATTTTTCGTTCCATTTGTTTCGCGGAAAATGAATGAATTGGACTATATTTTTCTAAAAGTAATCGCTAGCACCGCTTGAAATAAGTCAGTGAAAAATATTTTCATTATTAACAATAATTTATATCTAAACATATTCAATGGCGGTAATTTTTTTTTATCTATTCATTTTTGTAAATGATACATACGATCATTTTTAGGAAAATATTTTGCAAATCTCTTATTTTCCGCGAAACAAATGGAGCCTAAATATAATACTTGCTTTTTTGCACTTATAAATAAGGGTTAATACCACGAAAAACCTCAAACTGGTATACCTGTGATAGATTTGCCTTAAACTAATTTTTTTACCACCAAAAAAATCAAACTGGTACATTTGTGACAAATTTACCCTCCGTTAAATTGGATTAATATCACGAAAAATCACAAAATCGTACACATATGATAGACGGAGGATAAAACCCCAAACTGGTACAGCCATCAACTAAAATGTGTCATCCAACTTAGAAATTTGACAGTAAGATTTAACAGAAACTAGCAGAGGGTAAAATTTTTCTGGATGTACCAGCTTAGGATATTTCGTCGTCAAAAAATTAATTTTTGGTAAATCTATTATATGTGTACTAGTTTGGAGTTTTTTGTGATATTAACCTTATAAATAAAGAGTGACCTAGTGTGGAAACGAGCGCCTTGTCCACCCTATGTCAAATGGTTAGTGAGAAAGTGGATAGATAAAATATTCAAATTAAACCCCTGTTGAATGGCTGGTGAGAAAGTGGATAGATAAAATATTCAAATTAAATGTTGATAAGACCGTTTGTATAGTCTTACACTCATTATGTATGCTCTAATAAACTTTTTTATATTGTAGATTTGCTGTTTTTTTTTCAATTAAAAAAAAAGCATAATTTCTTTCTCTCAAATAACTTTCACTATCTGATGTTCATCTTTTACTTTTGTCCACTACTGTGTGGAGACAATTCATGTGCTGTGTCCGCAACTAGGGCTAAAAAACAAGAAAAACCCATTTGTTGGAATTGAAAAGCTTGGGTCGGGCAAGGACTCTTGCTGATTTGGATTTTACTTGCGAGTTCGAACTAAACAACAGCAGATGCTCGTATCGACTCGACAGCTGAAAAGGAATTACAAACCAAACTCACGAATGCGAAAATCAAATCACAAACGATCGAGCAGAACCAAAGCCTCCTCCGCCATGGCAAATGTTAGGCCCGTACGTGGTTGGCCCCAATCTCCAACAGACAATCGCAAAGCTCCTGTGGCTTCGAAAGCATGGCCATGTGATCCGCGCCGTCCACCTCCAGGACGTGGTCAGCCCCGCCGTTCTCGATCATCCACCGTTGGAACTCCAGGGGTATCCCCAGATCTTGTCTGCACACGACGTAGACTCGTGTTGTTGACCCGTACCCCTTGCGGGTGAAGTTGCTCGACGTGCTCAGGTCTTCCAGGAACAGTGACCCCGGCCTCGTCAAGATTTTGCCGAGCTCCAGATCCTTCAAAAAATTAACATTTCCATGGAAAATGGTGTTGATGGGATTGCGCCAACATGATATCGTTTTGGAGTTCACTACACTTGATCACGGGATCGATAACCCGTTAGGCTGATCTTGGCTTGTTCAAGCTAACAAGGTTCGAAGCACAAACTAGACGTGTATATCAATTTCCTTTTTTATGTTCGGGCCCACCCGCATAGGTCTAGTTGAGCCTATCTAGGCCCAATCAATTTTGCTCAAAATATAAAGTTAAGTCGATGGCAAACCCTAAATAAGAAATATTAGGCTCGCTATTCGGCTCGATCCATCCAAGCTTGGCCATTAATTAGATCTACATGTACTGTATTGGTGTTTTCTACAAACTTACGGTGTTCTTGATTTCAGATAATATAATGTATTTATATTGTTGCACAACTTATGCATCGTAAATCTCCAATTAGAATTCTATGGGGCCCAAATATACAATCGAAAGAATGTAAAAGTAACGATCATAAAAATCTATGGTTATAATAAAAATAAAAAAGTTATGTGTGAATTGGTGGCTATCGTTCTAATAGTCTTAGCATTCACGAATTTTATTGTTAAGCAACCCGATCACCTTTTTATAGCCTAAGAATTGGATGAGGGAGCTGAGGGTTTTAACAGAGTAAGGGCCAACTTATAAAATGCAAGAAAACCGTTACGAATTCTAATAAAAATAATAATTATGTGTATTTACTTAATCACCTATGAAATGTAAAGGAAACAAATGACATTTCAATCGTTATACATATCAAGTATCCAATATTCGATTTCCCAAGCACAAAATTCCAAACTGATCTAAGTCCTATAGAATTTTTAACAATTGACCCCAAATCTGTCTCGCTTCACAAAATCCGCTACTCATTTATGTTCCACTGGTTTTAATCTCAAATGGATAAAACTCACAAAATTATAAGGTCATATCAAAATAATTCTAAACTGCAGTGACATAATATGCCAGCTAGGGTCATCAATGGATACCCTCCTCAATGAAAGGACACAAGAAGTGGTCTTTACAATTGAATCATATGTTTCGAACTCTCTGCTTCTCCCTTTTCACGTGGAAATGGTGGCCACTGATACATATTCACTTCTATATGTTGACATAACGACAGAGTATGTCTCATCTCACTTTACATGATATGACTCAACTCAGTTTATGGGGTTTTTTAAGATGGGCCCACTAGAGGCCCACAAAGCTCCTGGTGAAGAAGCTCCAAAGTTATATAATACACTTGTCAAATAAAGAAAAAGAAGCAGTGAATACGTACCTCAGGAGGAGACAGATGGTAGAGCTTGGATGACAAGAAGTCGGGGCCGAAGAACATGGTTGTTAAGGGTTTGTCAGGCTTTCCCACAGGGGCGAATTGAGTGTCTAGCCACGCTCCCTTCGGAGCCCTTGCACAATACTTCCATCACAAGGACAAAGCCATTAAAAATGGGCTCATGCATGTAGGGCTTGTCCATGTTAACATGCCCTCAACGAAACAAATCGACAGATTTAGAGATATAAACGAGTTGATTATTTGATTAATTTCCCAACTTAAACAACATAAAATCTCCAAAACGGAAAGGGAAAGGCCCACTCCAAGCCAAAAAAGCAAGAAAGACGACTTTATTTTGAGAATCTAACACGTGTTCAGCAGAGATTACCTCTTCCAACACGTATGACGGCCGATGTGCGGTGTCCGGCATGAAAGCCGCCAAGAAAACAGCTGCTGAGATCTTCTCCGGGAACCTGTCGGCAGCGAGAGCCAAGTTCACGCCGCCCAAGCTGTGGCCGACGAGGATCGCCCTCTCGCCCTGCCCGAGCGAAGCCAGGAGCTCCAGCAGCGGCTCGGAGTACTCATGGAAAGTGCAGACGTCGTGCATGGACCTCACATCGGTGCCGCTGGCGGCAAGGTCGAGCGCAGTGACCTGGTGGCCGGCCGACTCGAGCCGGTGCTTGAGCTTGTACCAGCTCCACGCGCCGTGGCAGGCGCCGTGGACGAGTACGAAATGGTACTGTTGCATGCTTTGAGATCCCCACCTCAATATTCTTGGATTTGGCTCTGTTAGTAGTTCCTGTATTTTTTCTGATTGTATTTATATGATGGTTGGTGCTTAGGAGGAGGAGGAGGAGGAGGAGGAATTGACAATGATGCCCTAAGGAAAATTCTGAAGAAAATGAATATAAATGACGAACGTTCCTTGATCGATCATATTGTGGAAAATTCTTGTACCTGCTTTTTTCTTCGTCGCTCTTGAAAATTTCTTGCTGGGCCCCGATGGCAATCGGACCATGTTTGACTATTCTACGGAATTTCCATTTCAACGTTGCAAGTTCACAGCGGTATTACTTTGGGGAGAGATCGCAGCAACTGTCACTTAACACGCTAACGTTTATTTTGGATGCCATAGATGCCGTGTTCAAATTATAGTGTCTTTCGGCCGACGTATTTTTAAGGGTCACGCTTGCCATCTTATAGGTGACCTTTTTAGCCAATGCATGTGGACAAGGAGATTTAAACTTTGCTACAGATATGAGTTAGAGTTTCTATTGAGATCCACATGTATCTTGTGGTGGAAAAGATCCACATTGAACAATACGTGTGGTGCGGAGCTGTTAACGGAGGAGACTGGGGATGAAAGGTGTGTTTGCACTAGTTGGTGATGATTGGAGTAGATTCGATTGAGACATCAGGATACCTGAATAAAAGGGGAGGAAATCTAACACCAAGATCACGCGTGAGGGAGGGATTATTGCGATACACGTGTGAGTTGTATTTAAAAGGTCCAACATTCGTGAATTGATATAGTGTGAAGTAGTTAATATATATCCTAACTGATCCGTAACTCATTGACTTAATTTTTTGAGTAAAGATAGGTCCAGTTAAATATGTTAATAGCCTTAAATTTGAGCTCTCTCTTGGTGATATCCTCGAGTGAAGATATCGATTTCTGTTGTGCATGCAATAGTTTTGATATTAGGTTGTATTAAATGAAACGAAAGATAACCACACAAAAGGGTATTCTTGGAAAACAAATGTAAATGGTCAATTTAGCCAGATTTGTGCTCCCCAAGATGGATATCTTTTCGTTTACCATTCCACTACCTAATAACATTTCATCATTACAGCAAGAAAAAACACGTTTCCACTTCATACAGTTAAGTCCCCTTGTCCGTATTTGTGGGAATAATTGGAACGTGCTTATCACGTGGTAAAGGAGGGGTTAAGACAGCAAATCAAAATATCGCGAATCAACCATTTTCACGATTCTTTAAAAGGGATAAATGCACCAAAAATTTTAAAATTTATCACGAAAATTCAATTGAGTCCTACAACTTTTAAAAAATATAATTAAATCTTAAAATTTATTACTAAAATGCAATCAAGTTCTAAAACTTTTAAAAGTGCAATAAACGGAATACTTGATTAGATTAATTTGATAAGTTTTATGACTTAATTACACTTTTTGAAAAGTATTGCACTTTCACGATAAAATTTAAGACTTGCAATGCGCATTATCCCTTATAAAAAAATTGGCCCAAATATCTACTCTAACAGTGCGTTTGTTTAAGGAAAAGTGTTTTCCGGAAATTCGATTTTCGGACTTTCACCCGTTTGGTTAGCCGAAAATGATAAGTCAACTGAAAACACTTTTCGGTCAAGGAAAATATTCATGTATAAATTAGAAAAGTGAATTCCCTAATCTATGAAAGTGAAAACACTTTTCGGAATTGTTTATCTTAAATTTGTTAATATTTTTCTTTTCTCTTCTTTTTTCTATTTTTCATTTCTTTTTCCTTCTTCCTCCCTCTGCCGATTGCCAGCCTTTCTTTTTCCAAAATAAAAATAATTTAAAAAATATATAATTTTTCGATAATTTTCACCATGAGATTTTCTTCACCAAACAACTAAAAATACTTTTAAAGTCTTTTTTAGGTTTTAACCAAACACCAGAAAACGAACTCATTAGTTCTTGGAAAGTGTTTTCTAGAAATTATATATTTTTCGTGAAACAAACGCATCCTAAGTCTTCTTGGCGAAGTCACATCTTCACCTATTTGTATCCTTTTCGGACCTCGAACCGTTCCTTTTGGCCCAAACCATCATGCAATGTGTCATGGAGAGAACTTTTTTTTTTATCTGTCCTACTCTAACTTTTAATTCACTCTCATATTTTTGTCTTGCCTCTTACAGGGCGTGAGAGTCAAAATCCACATTTGAAACTACATGTTCCCACCCCTAACCCTTCCTGAGAAGGTGGGGAGACTTCTCATCTCTCCTTTCTCAAATAAGAAGGGTGGCCACTGGGCAAGCCCCAGTGGTTAATCATGGAGAGAACCTGCGCTACTTTCTTCAGCTGCCCTTGTCCTTATGTGAATTTTCCAGCTTTTTAAATTCTTGAAAAGGAAAAACGACCGCCGGCATGGAGAAAGAAAAGGTTGAACCGCTTCAAAAGGGTCAACACTCGGACAAAGGAATTTAAGTGGCTGTAGTTGAGGAAGATGTAGAGTCAAAGTCAAATAATGCGAATTCACAGGGTTAGTTCATTACTGTTGCATACTACTTTTAAATGCAATGATTTTAATTTTGTAAGGTTATGTAATTGTCACTGGAGTGGGTCCTTATTCCCATATGCAATTTCCATTTCATGTTATCAGGTACGGGGTGTGTGCCCATATCCTTCACGACAATATCATAGCTCTCTTTATATATGTTAAATTATGTCTCGAGTTTGAGTCCATGTACTATATATCCATTTTGAATTCAATTGTGGTCGTGAGAAGTAGATATTGATCAACAGTCGAGTTTGACCGCATATTAGTTGGGCTCACCGGAAGGTGCACAAGAGACTCTTATTTTGCCGTTATATGAGATTCTTGGGTTTGCCTATTTTGTCTTCTTAAAGCACAGGGGGAATAGAAAAGGATGTCTCCCTCTGTTTTTACAAAAAAAAAAGAAGGCAAGTGAAGATCGTATTCTTACTTGACTTTTTTGGTCGAATTATTGTTTCTTGATTGGTCAAAGCTTGATTATATATAAAAATAGCCGCAAGGGAAAAGGGAAAAAAGCGAGGCTCTCGGTGTTAGGCGGCGTGTGGAGTTTTTCTTCGTACGGAGAACTTTAATGAAGAGTTCTTTCGAACACAGGCGAATTTTGAGCCTTGAGTTTTACATCCAATTAAATTATTTATTTGGGCTTAAGTGTAATTTAAGTGTGGGAAGCATTCAAGTACGTGTGCAATTGTAACTCTATTATCCAATTGTAGTAAATTATTTGTTGTCGGCTCTCTATATAGAATAGTTACCGACACTCGGACCGAATCACGTAAATCTCTTATGTCATTTATTGTTCATCGTTTATTTCTTGAGTGATTTCGCGTCGATTTAATGGCAAAATCTTGTCAGTGCGCCTTCTCTACCCTCACATACAAATACATTCCACATGTAAGAGGAAAAGAGCAGAGTCAAAGCACCAACTTATTTTTTTCGAGATGGTGAGACTATTCATAATAAGTGTTGTGCACTTGCATATTTAATTAGTATTTTTCACCTTCAGCTACAATAGATCATTTAAATATTTAGTGTCGGGTGATTTGGATGATCTGCCATTAATCAAATGCAATTAATTATTTCTAACTTTCATATAAACATAATATTGGTGATCGGTTCTCGGTCCGGTTCAATGGAACCGGTCACTTTTTTATTTCCCACTGCTTGATACCATATATTTTTTAACTAGAATTGTGTTCCCTATGCCGATTACACATAATCACTAAAACAAATATGTAATTCGAGCCAATGCGATGACGAATTGTGTTCCTCATGCCAACTACACATATATTTTAAAATTGAAATTATATTCTCCATGCCGACTACATATAATCACACAAAAAAAGAGTATATGTAGTTGATCCAGTCCAGGCAATACAGTTCTCTCGGGAACCGGACTGCCCGGACATCGGTTTCATTTTTAGGAATCGGGAACCGGACCAAATCGGTTGGTCCGATCCGGGCGGTTTCCGATTTGGGGGGGGCAACCCTTTATAAGTCATTCACTCTTCTCTCTCGTTCTGCTCATAAAGGCTTGTCTGCCGACTTGCTTGAAGGAGGTTCTGCCAACACAGCCCATTAAGCTAATTAGAGCTCCAATTGGCATAATCTCATATTACTTTCACTAGTTACCTTGCTCTATTCATGAAATTGAGTTGAGGCTACTTTCAAGAATTTTCTCTAACCAATGATGATGAATTTTCTTTAAGTATATGTCAGTTTCATCCCATTGTTGGACCCTTATAAGATCGTGGGATTATTGTACAAAAAGCCCTAAACCTATTGTGCAATGGTCCATTCAATCTTAAACTTTCAATTTGGTCAATTTAATTCTAAATCTTTTGACGATTTTTCAATGTAGTCCATCCGGTTAATTTTAGCCAAAATCACTGACGTTGATGGTTAACTGGACTCTTACGTTAGCGATTTTTAGCCAAAATTGCTGAAAGTGCGACATTGAAAAATTGTCAAAAGGTTTAGGACTTGGCCAAATTAAAGAGTTTAGGATTAAATTGACTGCCATACATTAGGTTTAGGACTTCCTAGATAATTTTTCCATAAGATCTTGATACAACAAATTTGACTACATTAGAGGTCAACAAGTCCATATCATAACGCAGACCGGTGCGTGAATTGGTACCTCTAAGAAAAGGCAAGTGTAAGCAAATGAAGGAGGTGGCGTTGAGAACGCTCGATTACAATCATACAATGGATTTTGTTTGGGGCAAGTCCTAAACTTTTTAAAATACATTTGATTCCTTAAATTTCGGTTTCATACTTTGAAATCTAAAACTTGTGACTCAAATATATTGGAGTCCTTTCATTAACCCCGCCAGTTTTAAGTGAACAAAACATGTCATGTGGTTTATTTTTATAGTTTTTCTATAATACGTGGCCATTGATAAAAAAAAAATGCCGCATAGATCTGCTGTCCACCAAAACCTAACGGAAGGACTAAAGTGTAGATTGTGACAAGTTTTAGGACATAAATGCATAATATGAAAGTTTTAGAATACAAATACATCATCATAAGTACTTTTAGACTCTTGCTGTAATTTTCCTACTCTGTTTTGGCAGAAAAAAAAGGAACAGTTTAGCATGTTATGAATCTGCGTAATAGTTTGCGAGTCTATCGACATAAGTAGAGAAAAGATTCAAATCAAGAATTGAGCTAAGAAAAGCAAATGTAAGCAATTGTAAGAGTTTAAGAGATACAATATGTCATATTTAGTTCATACAATCAGTATAGTAACAATAATTTGGTCGGTTGTTAATGGTGCGAAATGCGAATTGAACCAACGCACTTCGTACTCTGTTTCTCAACCGTAGTTCTTTGCAATGTCCTCAAAGCATTGACAAAGCTCATGAGGCTTGGAAAGCATGGCCGTGTGATCGGCATCTCCGATCAGCTTCACTGCCTTGGGAGTATTCTGATCGATAATCTGTCTCTGAAACTCTACCCGCATGGTTTTGTCGTCTCCGCACACAACGAAAACTCTTGCCACCGACCCATATCTCTCCTCTGCGATGAGGGATTTGTCCGCCAATTCCTCCATGAACATCCTTGCTGGTCTACGTATAAACTTTGCTAATTCCAGGTCCTGAATATGTGATTCCACAGTATACATCGTCTGTACTTGCTTGTTGCCTATTATTATCAGAAGAGTAGTTATGTGCGAGTCTCACCTCTGGTGGACAGTTTTGGTACAGCTTCTCGGTCATGTAAGGTACGCTGCCACATAAACTGCCACTTCGATTTTCTCAGGAAAGCTATCCATGGCTAGCGAAATACAAAATCCTCCATAGCTGTGGCCTACCAATATTACCTTCTCATCCCAATGAAGAGAGGGCATCAATTCCATTAGCGGTCTTATGAAGTCTCGAATTGTTTGGATTGGGTCCAGCGCTTTTGATTTTATGCTTGTGCCGCCCAACAAAGAAAGAAGGAGGTCCGTTTGCCCTGTCTTTGGGTTTAAGAGAAGGCAAATTCGAAACCCGCAAGTGAGAAGCTCCACAAGGCCTAGAGTTCCTTTTGCTTTTCCCTTTCCTTTGTACATCTGACACAACAGGTATTGGTGTACAACCTGCGATCGTCTAAGCCGCCAATATGTCTCCACTTCTTTCTTCTCCATGCTTGAACTTCTAGGAGCAAGTCTGAGGCTTTGACCCTTTAGTGAGTAGATCCCCAACTTCAACAAAATAAAATCTCCATGACATAAAAAGAAAGGCCCACTTCAACCAAAAAACAAGAACGATGCCTTCATTTTGAGAATCTAACACGTCCTCAACAGAGATTACCTCAACCAGCACATTCCCGGCCGATGTGCGGTGTCCAGCATGAGAGCCGGCGAGAAAACAGCGACAGCTATATACTCCGGGAACCTGTAGATGAACAGATTTGCATTCAAGCTGCCCAAGTTTTGCCCCATGAGGATCACCCTCTCGCAGTGAAGCCATGAGCTCCAGCAGCGGCTCACTGTAACGTGTGTTACGGCGTTTATGGACTTCGTGTCGGTGCCGCAGGCAGCAAGGTAGAGCTCCGTGACTCGTTGGCCGTGTATGGACTTCTTGGGTTTGGCTTTGTTACTTGTTCATGTATTTTTTGTGATTATATTTAAATTATGATTGGTTTGGTTTGTTGTTCATGCTTTAGGAGGAGGAGGAGGAAGAATTTGCATTGATGCCCCTATGATAATTTTGACGAAATTTAAAGTAAATGCATAATTTTTCTGGATGGCTCACATGGTGGAAAATTCCTCTAGCTGTTTTTTTTGTCGCTCTTGTAAATATCTTGCTAGGCCCCGATAGCCATGGAACCATGTTGACTATTCTAAGAAATTTCCATTTCAACGGTGAAAGTTCACAAAGGTATGACCCAAGAAAAAAAAATCACACCAAACAAAGGTTAGCAAGTTAACGTTTATTACGATATGTGATATATGCCGCGATCAGATAACAGTGCCTTCCATGCAGCATAACGTTAAGGATCACGCTCGCATCTTATAGGTGAAATCTTACCCAATGCATGTAGATGAAGAGATTTGCATTCTTCCACGGAGATCAATTAGTCAGGTCAAAAAGTTTGCATTCTTCCGCGGAGGAAAATGCCTATGAAGTGATTTGCATTCTTCCTGGGAGATTACCAGTCATAGGCACTTTCCTCCGATCAAGAGCGTGGGAAAATATAACCAATTTTGCGTCCCGATATTAACTTGACTGATAGCAAAAATCCAATGATGATGCCTGTACACATGCTAGACCCGCAAAGATAAGATTGAGTACTCCATTTATCCGGATCATGTGAGCTCAGCTCAGGTCCTCCTTTATATCAAGTGAGTCCCACGTGAGGCCTCCTTGTGCAACAAGTCTTTGGACTTTAGACACATGATACCCAATTATAGGCCATCAAGAGGTATTGCCGACTCAGCCAAAAGAGCCTAGTGTGAGCTGCCACATTGGATCCAACTCAGCATTCTCGTAAATTCGCTCCCCATAAGTTCTTGTAACTCACGAAAACTCTAAAAGCATCATTCTCCGCAACTCGAATGGACAAACATTATTCTGATCAAGAATTGAGCTAAGAAAAGCAATTGCAAGCAAATGCGAGAGTTTAGGAGATACGGACGTGTTATTCAGTTCATAGGATTAGCACAGTAAGAGCAATGGTGTGATATGCGAATTGATACAACTCAGTTTGTGCTCCCTGCCTCAATAGCAATTCTTAGCAATGTCCTCGAAGCATTGACAAAGCTCATCGGGCTTAGAGAGCATGGCCATGTGATCGGCATCTTCAATCAACTTCACCGCCTCGGGTGGACTCCGATCGATCATCCTTCTCTGAAAGTCCACGTCCATGGCCTTGTCTTATCCACACACCACAAAAACTCTTCTCACCGACCCAAATCTCTCTACCGTGACAAAGGATTCGTTCACCTGGTCCTCCATGAACATCTTCGCCGGTTTTTGTAACATCTTCGCCGGTTTTTGTAACATCTTTTCTAATTCCAGGTCCTGCATTATATGTGGTTCCACAATATGCATCATGAATGATTTCTTTTTTTTAGTCCTTATGTGAAGGAGTTTGCCTATTGAGCAAGAGCATTACACACCCCAAATCTCAACGAGTCAAAGGTCTCAATATCCATTTTGTGCTGCAGACAATTTTGTGACTAATCAATCTCAAATTGACTAAATTACCTCTGCACTTCATAGAAATCAAGATAAATGAGAGCAAAAATCATAGAATTCGATCAATTTTCTTCAAGCAGAGAATATGCATTAACCTTAAGAGATTTATTGATTGATGAAATGCTTGGTCTGAATACAACCGATTTCGTATTGAGCTGCTCCTCCCTTGCAAAGTAAGCTGAGGGTCTCAAGCCTGTCACTCTATGGGTGTAGCCTAATCAAATACCCGTGGGCGATCCAATTTGCATGAGATTAGTCAAATTAAAGGTTAAAAATCCCATTTGAAAATAAAAAAAAATGCAAACAGAACATCCCTAACCTGCCTGTCCACGCTAGACGGACTAATGAAAAGTGCCACAAGACTACTCTTAAGTATGCATGGCCACTTTAATCAGGACATCTTTACGATGCAATAGTCTCACCTCTGGTGGACAGTTTTGGTACATCTTCTCGGTCATGTAATCGTCGTACTGCACGCCATCCTGGTTTTCATTGATTAACGCCTCAAGTTTGCTTTCGCTGAAGAACTGTTTCAAAGAAACACGTATGAAGAATTTCTGTCGCTGGGATTGTAAAAGACAGATGATGCATGAATTTAGGCTTTGTTTGTTTCATGGAAATTGAAAAACTTATGTGACTGGAAATGTAGAAGACGGACGGCGCATGAATTAAGTTATAGCTATTATCTCAAGGGCAGACGTGCTAGGCGTCCAACTGTACTTGTGTTGACTTTATCTCACACTAGACCTGATAATAAAGCCCCTCAAAATAGTCCTTGCTCACATTGATTGGCTGTCTTTTTTTGGAAAGCTTAAACCCCAAGAGAGGATTACACTAAAGTGCGAATTAGATAGGCGTGTCCGAAATCTGTCACAAACCCCCATCACATACGGATGAATTTGAACCTATGGAAATGGATGAACGGGTCCAAGTCATGAAATTTTTTAGCTATATATAAGACAATGCGTAAACTACTTGACATCTTAGTACTGTCGTACCTCTTGCAAGAGAAGTCCCGGTGGGGTTCTCGGCCTGGGCATGAATGCTTTCACATAAACCGCCACTTCCATTTTCTCGGGGAAGCTCTCCATGGCTAGCGAAATGCAAACTCATCCACAGCTGTGACCTACTAGTATTACGTTCTCGTCTTGGGGAAGAGAGGCCATCAATTCCGTCAACGGTCGCACAAAGTCATGTATTGTCTGAATTGGGTCCGGCCCTTCCGACTCCATGCTTGTGCCGCCCAAATCTAGGGCAGTGACTAAGGGTGAGCAAGATGGACTGCCCAAACCGGGACCAGACCGGACTGACCGGTTTGGTCCGGTTCTCGAAAATATCGGTCCGGTTCCCGGTTCCTAAAAGTGGAATCGGTTTCCGGGCAGTCCGGTTCCCGGTTCTAGAGTGGGAATCGGACCGGACCGGACCGATAAATATATATTTTCCTAATATTTTCATATATATAATATTTAATATATATATGAAAAATATTTAATATTAGTCCCATTGAAATCGATTGTTCAATTTTTTCATATATTATATATATTTCCAATTTTTTTCATGGCCTTATGGGATCAAATCAAAACTACAAAGGAAAGAACGGAACAATCGGTTCTCAGTTCACAAATAATATTTAATATTAATCCCATTGGAACCGGACCGAATCAGACCGGACCATCGGTACGGTCCGGTCTACAGTCTCAAGACTAGCTAGTCCGGTCCCCGGTCCTAGAAACTGGGAACCGGTCCTCCCGGTCCGGTTCCCGGTTCTTGAGTTGGACCGGACTGGACCGGGAACCGCTCACCCTTAGCGGTGACACGATGGCCAGCAGATCTGAGCCACGTCGCCACCTTGTACCAACACCAGGCTCCGCCTCCAGCTCCATGGACCAAAGCAAAATGTCTCTTGCTATCCATTTAAACATGAGGAAAACCCCTCGAAGCTAATAAATATGAGCGATTGCTGAATGCATCCATGTTGTCCAAACAATTACGCCAGCCGGTACACACCAATGTAGCCGAATACGAGAAGTGTATGATGCTAAGACAACTATGATATACCAAACTCTCGAGCAAAAGCAGGTTCCTGAGTGGAGAATTTCAGATGCCATCGCCAGCATAGCCTTTGATTTTCACCAGCAAATTATTATAACGAAGCATTCATGTGTACAAGGCCAAACCTATGCAACACTTATTTGGGTTTCGTAGTGATATTGCTTAAGCAAGGAATGTAGGAATAAATGACACACTGTTATATTCTGAGCTTCTAGACGTGTGCTTAACTTGCTTTCGTCTCTTTCTCTTCGTTTTTCACTCGATCGAGTGCTGGACACCATCTTTGGATATGATGATCGGAATTTACTAGGAAAATTGTCTAGAAAATCTAAAACCTAATGTACGGAGGCTACTTCAGTCTTTTTTTATTAATTATAGCCAATTTAGTGTTAAACCACTTGACCATTTTCCAATGTAGTCTTTTCCGACCAATTGTGATCGAAAATTGTTGGTATGAACGCCAATCATCCTACGTGACACGGACATAGACAGTTTTTACAATTTTTTAAAAATAGATTTCTGAATTTTTCATATTTTTTATTTTTATTTTTTTTCCCACTGTAGGCCGCTGAGTGTCTCTAACCAATTGCCAGGGCCCCGGCAACCCTTTCTGGCCATTCGGGAAGATGAATAGTGGAAAAGAAAATAAAAGAAATAAAAGAAGTTATTACAAAATTTAAGAACAAATTCAAAAAATACATACATTGTCCCTGTCAACATTGGCTACGCCACATAGGACGACCGACGTTCTTATTAGCGATTTTTGCCAAAATTAGCCAGAATGACTACATTGAAAAATCGTCAAAAATTTGAGAATTAAATTGGCCAAATTAAAAATTATAGGATTAAGTTAGTTGCTGTATAATATGTTTAGGACTTTTTGGATAATTATTGCGAATTTACTTGTAACAGATATCAACATCAACTATATTCTTTTACTATTTACCACGGGGTATGTTTAGGAATGCATTACAAAGCAGCTTTGAGCCCTTAATTCCCCTGGATAAAACTTTTGGGCGTTTGTTTAACATTTTCTACTAAACTTTGGGGTGAATCTACAATGAAAATGCTCAAGGTCGAACGCAAGTCCCTTTCCGCTTTAGCTTTTCATCACTATGCCTGCCTTTAAAAGAGTATATTCATTTTTCAATTTTGACCTATCAACTAAATTGTTTTTCTCATCTGCCCTTGCGAGTCTGGATTGACCCTTTCACACACACTTTAGGGAGGCAGAGAGGGGTTGCCATGGCGGCATAGGGACCTTGTCTCTTAAAGATAGGGTCGCGTGACCATAGGCTAGCCACTAGCTGAGGTTGTCGGCAGCAACCTATGCAAGACAAATCTTGCTAGGGTCACACACTAACCTGGCAACGCCGTGCTTGGGGTTGGGCCACCCTATCAAAACTGATCTTTGTAGGGTCATACGACCACACGTCACCTCGCCGGGGTC